TAGGAAATTAAAATTTAAATATTTTTGGTATTTTTGATATTTTAACGAAATAGTAACAACTTAAAAAGATAACTAAAGTTTTTGTAGAAGAAAAGTACTTAATATGAAAATATTTTTCTTCTTATCATGAATCAGAAATAAATATAGGAATTCTATTGTGAAAGTATGTGAATTGTGTTGTGTCAAATAGGAGCAATTATATTCTTTACCCTTACTAGAGATGTTATAAAGAACATTGACTAATTTAAAGTTTGATTAGTTCTGAAGACTGACTAGGTAGGGAAGATACCAGCTCTCACTCTAGAGTTTCCTCGATTCCCTCCACCTGAGGGCTAACATCTCGTATCAGAACCTAAAACAATAAACCAAGTTGGGCGGCTTTAACCTGTCACTTTAAAGTCCTCTAACTCTACATTTTTCAATGATTCTTTCTCTATTTATTTTCACTAAATCATTTGAAAGTCCTCTCTTCTTTCTTTTATAGTTTTCCAAGAGGTGCCTTGGGATCTTTTCAAAATGTGTCTTGATTCGATGTATTTGCCCAAGAGACGCATCATTTCATGATAATTTTTGTCTGTGGTGGTTACAACCACCTATTAAGTCAATGGGTGTCTCAAAAACCTCTTCAAAATTTGTAAAAACCAGTTTTACTCGTCTAGTAACTGCCACCGGTACTTAAGCGAGGGGTCTCGATGCTTAGTCGCGTCCTTCTCTATTTAACCGGCGCTTAAGCGCCGGATTTGGCGCTTAGGCGCCAAAACTCTTTTGCACAATTTTTCACCTTTTTTGCTCCAAATTTGATTATTTTTCACTCCTTTAAGCATTTTATTCTATTTTTACTTGTATCTGCAAGAAAAACACAAAAATTTCATCTATTAAAGCGCAATATCTCAAAAATAAGTATAAAAATGTGTCTAAAAATATTATATATTTTAGGTGTATCAATCACCACCCACACCATGGTTTATAAAAGAAGTCATGACCAAACTACAATACAAGAAGAGAAATGACGAACCAATTAGGGGTGTAAACAAGCCGAACATGAGCGAGCCCAGATTTAGCTCGTGTTCGGCTCATTAAAAAATATCGTCTTCGTCTCGTTTATGTTTCGAACACAAAAAATGTGCTCGTGTTCCAATCATTTACTTAGAAAGCCAAACACAAACTATTTGCGAACAAATAGTCATTTTGACAACCTTAATCATGCAATCGTAAATGTTAAGAGTTAGGGCAAGAATTAAACCTTATTTTTTATATTAAAACATCATTTAAATATAATTTAAAATATTTTTATTCTATTTTTTAATTAATAATTTTAATTGATTATAAATATT